TCCTCCCATCAGGCCGCTGCAGTATTATATATAATACTGTATATCTAAACCGGTACAAGAAGTTGTTCCTACCCATATCTGTGAACCTCCTGAACGCAGGCCATTGAGCAGAGCGGTGAGGGTTTATGTCTGTGTTACAGAGTTGTGTTTTATGTGTATTTTCAATATAGCAGCCTGTGAGTCCTAGACAAATTTCCAACAGAACATAATACATTAATCTTGAATCTCTTGAATCTTGAAATATGGATGTGTATAAAAATCAACCTCATATTGTCCCATTTATACTTTTGATGTATTGTTTTGTATGTTTTTGTTAGTGTTTATGCCTGCTTGATTTGAAAGCATGCAGCACTGGGCACAATCATTATCCATATAGATGTATAGATGTATAGAAGTGATGGTTGAATTGGAGATTTCAGATAGTGAAGTGTGTATGTGTTCACTCAGGAATTCAGCTCTGGCTTCTGCCTGTGTCTAATGTCTCCAGCTCCCGTTTCATAAGCACCAGTGGAAAAGTCCGAGTCAGCACGCTGGCACCAGGAGATCCTGTGCGGGAAACACATCAGCGCTCTCACATCTGCAGACCAGGGCAGACCAGAACAGACCAGAGCATCCAGACACCAGTGACCAGAACATGCCAGAGTATCCAAACACCAGCGACCAGAACAGACCAGAACAGGCCAGAGCATCCAAACACAAGCGACCAGAACGGACAGGAACAGACCAGAGCATCCAGACACCAGTAACCAGAACATGCCAGAGCATCCAGACACCAGTGACCAGAACAAACCAGAGTATCCAAACACCAGCGACCAGAACAGACCAGAACAGGCCAGAACATATATGTATATATATTAGGGGTGGGCAAAATATATCGTAGAAAATAATATTGTGAAAGTAAATTTGAAGATATGCTTTTTTTGTATTATTGTCCTTTTTCTTTTTACATATATATTACAGTTAGAGAAGGACAGATGCCCATTTGGTCTAACGTGTGCCTAAAAAGCCAATCACTGCTTTATTTGTACATTTCAGTAAATATTGAGCGAGCCTTTTTGGATGTGTTCTTTCTGTGATACTTGAATTAAATTTGTAATGTTAGTATATGTTGATATATGTTTGGGCATGTTTTACAAAGAAGTGTGAAGCTTCTATTTAGTCTATCTACAGTTTAGATTCTAAACTGTAGATGCCCTGGCAGCAAAACATTACAGATCATTTTGTGTTGATTGATTTTTTTTTTTTAATTTATTGCGCATCTTTTTGATATGGATATCCCACGCACCAATATCGCAATAACAATATTATATAATATAATATATGTATATATAATGTATTGAATATATATAAATATTTTTTTTCCTTTTATAAAGACAATATTACAATATTGTCTTACAATATTTTCACAGCCTAAATGTATTATTTAAATTATTGCGTTAACTCTGGTTAATTACATTTTTCATTAAAAACTTTTAAAGAAATTACAGAGTTTAACGCATGTCCGAATGACCCGCCCATGTATCCCATAATATCACTCAGAGCTGCGGACACATGCGTGTGTGAGATGGAAACAGTGGGCCCTCTGGGAAGTTTTAAAAGAATACGTGCGTGACTTGCTGTGGTTTGAAATAGAATGTTAAAAATGCGATTAATTGTGAGTTAACTCATCGCAATTAATCAACTAAAACATTTTAATCGTTTGACCGTCCTTAAATATATGTATTTGAAGGTCATTAATGTTGTGTTTATTTTGTGTTATTTGTCTCTTGCGATTTCAATTCAGATTGCAATTTTAGATGACAGACAAAAAATATGGCAATAATATTGTAATCGCAATACTAAATACTCATATCAAATATAGCTCTAAATTCCAATATCGTGCAGCCCAAAAACAGACACCAGCGACAAGAGCAGACGCAGAACAGAACAGACCAGAGCATCCAGACACCAGTGACCAGAACAGACCAGAGCATCCAGACACCAGTGACCAGAACAGACCAGACCATCCAGACACCAGTGACCAGAACAGACCAGAGCATCCAGACACCAGTGACCAGAACAGACCAGACCATCCAGACACCAGTGACCAGAACAGACCAGAGCATCCAGACACCAGTGACCAGAACAGACCAGAACAGACCAGAGCATCCAGACACCAGTGACCAGAACAGACCAGAACAGACCAGAGCATCCAGACACCAGTGACCAGAACAGACCAGACCATCCAGACACCAGTGACCAGAACAGACCAGAGCATCCAGACACCAGTGACCAGAACAGACCAGAACAGACCAGAGCATCCAGACACCAGTGACCAGAACAGACCAGAACAGACCAGAGCATCCAGACACCAGTGACCAGAACTGAACAGAGCATCCAGACACCAGCGACCGACCAGAACAGATCAGAACATTAAAAGCGTAATTGGCAAAGAAAATGGTATATACTGTATCTCCTCTGATCTTCTCACGTTAAAGTGCTTACATACAGTGCTATCGAGTCTTTTAAAAGTCCTCGTTGCATGCTTCAGTATGTGCCGCTCTGTCTTCTTGCCACACAGCGAGGGACGCATGCGCACGCGGGTGTAAACAAAGATCCTCCTATGGCAGTGATCCCCAACCTTTTTCATTTAAAACAATCACACGGCACACCACCAGCTGTCACAAACATGAAACACTGCAGCCTTTATTAACAATGCAAATCGTTATCCTCAAAGTGTATTCTATAGAAAGTCAAACAAGAGGATTAAAAAGTCTTTCTTAGCTTCTCATATTATTTCCTTCCGACTTTATTTGGATCAATTATGTAATATTAGATCATTTCCAAAGGCACACCAATCAGCATCTCAAGGCACACTAAGGTACCACGGCCCACTGGTTGAAAAACACTGGTCATATATAGAATAGCGGGATCCCGGATCATCACCACTGTCCTTAGGCCCTAAGGACAGTAGCATGTAAGTATCACAGATAGTTGTAAAAAGTAGACTGGGAGCAACTCCTTGAAGTGATTGTCCTGACATGCAGTCATTGCGGTTAGTTATGTGATTATATTGAAATCAGGGTTCCGTTCCAAGCAGAGTGCAGACAGGTAAATTGTGCGTGCCTCTCAACAATTTAAGTCTTGTTTTTGCATATTTACAGTTATCTATCTATACCCATCTGATATTTGATTTTATATTTCTTGTATAGAAATATGTACTTGCTCACTTTGTCCATTCCCCTTTACCGTTAACATATAAAAATGTATGTAGATTTTTATTTATCCATGCCTTGCACTGAGAGCTTAAGCAATTTCCCAGTTTGTGACTTCTGTGATTCTGATACAACTATTCAATTCAATTGTCTTTTTTAGTATAGAGTTTGTGTTCATTTTTCTAGTTTTGTGTGCTCCTTCATTCCTACTGTTCTGTAATCGGCAATGCAACACTGAAATTTCCCCACTGTGGAACGAATAGAGTAATCTTTAATTATATAGTACATTTTGCAGACCAAGGTCAGCCAAATTACTTTACAATTGTTGAGAGTTCACACACGGTGATGACAAACCAGCTCCATCCATTCACTCATTACATTCGGACCTATTGTACATATTTTTTATTGATAGGGGAAAATTGATAGGGCGCACCCGGAGGAAACCCAGACACGGGGACAACATGCAAACTCCACACAGAAAGGCCTGGAGGTGGAATCGAACCCAGGATCTTTTCGCTGTGAGGCAAGAAGCAAAAGGATCACTTAATAACTACAAAAAATAGGATCTTGATTCAACCATTGCATCTGGCCTGTTGTCTTGCCTCCTCTGACCACCTACAGAGAAACAAAGTCTGCAGACTGTGATCCCCTGGACTCCTCATGTTATCCTGGAACTCCTGGAACACTCCTGCACTCTTCTTCCAAACCTGATTGCATAATAATCTGAGCAGTAGTTTAAAGACGTATTTTAACTCATTCCATTGACGTATTTGTCTGAGACCGGTGATATCTGTCAAACTTCCCTGGGGATTACAGGACAACAAAAATAGCTAAAAGCAAACGGATTTTTGCTGATGAAAGTAGTAGTAGTGTTTCAGAATCTGGTTTCATTTTTCACATAGTCCTAGCACATAATATTCTGTGGGTCTTGAAAATCAGTGAAATCATCAAAAACGGCTGGCAGTCGATGAGTTAAGTAAATCTCACAAAGTAATTAGACTATGACATACTGCATGTAAGTAAGTAAGTAATTATTTATACTGCATGTTAATGGTACCAGAGAATCACACACCTGGGAGACACAGACAGTTTGCAGTCACATATATAGTATACATGTTGCAGGTGCTCAGAGTCAGGACTAAACATGGGGAGGCAGCATTCCAGATTCATGCAGCTAGAATCTGGAACAGTCTTCCTGAAAAAGACAATGTTCAAATCCAGGGTATGAACGGTGTATTTTAGCTGTGCACACCACTGACGGGTTGAATCTTCAGTTTTTTAATGCCTTGTATGATTGTTTCTCTCTCGTTATGTTACGCACTTTGAGTTGAAAATAAAAAACTTGCAAACAAACATGTAAACAACAAAAGGCTATACAAATAAATTAGAAAAGAGCACTTCTAGTTAATGCACAGATTTATTTGTGTCATTGTTATTCCATACATAATAAACGCGTAACTATTCCAAATTGGTCTGCCTTCTTCTCTCAGAGTAGACCGCTGCATGGACACGCATTCGCCCTATGGTTGATGTTGATGATGCCAGCCATACAACAACCCACTCACTGCAGAGAATCTCACACATTTTAATACCATACCGTGCACAAATTGGTGTATTGCACAGATAACTTGCACTTTCGCGCGAGCCTGTGTGGGAAATGGCTTAGGATCCACAAACAGATGATTGAGCAAGAAGGCAAACAGCTCCTAAAGTTCAACAACATGCTCGCGTAAAAGTGCAACAAACTACGAGCGCAGGAACAAAACTTTAGCCAGATTCCTCCAGAGACGCAGAGAAAATGTTTACCTTGGGAACGTAGATAGGAAAGTTGAGATGTTCCAGCGCGGATTCACTCCCTGGGACACGCTCTCACGATGGCGAGCAGTCACGGAAAACTCCTCCACACTTTATGTTCATGCACGGGCCGCAGAAACTAAAAAAAAATGCCCAAGCTTTGACTTCACCAAAAGTCTTGCGCGTTGTGGCTGTGAGCTGTGGGGTTATGGGCTGTAGTCGTGGAGGGGATCATCGCGTTGGCCGCAATAGGAGCTCCTGCACACGGGTACACTCGCGCACTGGGACCTGGGATGGCTGTGCGTAGTAGACTGACGCATGGCGATGATGCGCCCTCCTCAGCCAGCAGCCAAACAGACGACTTCACTTCGTACGGGCTGAGAAAAGCCTGTGTGTTTAAGAGTTCACATTCACAACGTGTCTGGTTACATTCAGATCATTTGGATGTATAGCTGTTATCTGCATGTAATCATAAAATAATCAGTAAAAAAATAAAAATAAAATAATAATAATAATAATAATAATAATACAAACTACAGCATAATCAGTATGTAGAAATGTTATAATAAAGTATAGATAGATAGTAAGATAATAAAGTAATTTATCTATTTTCGTCTTACTTTATTTTTTCTTAGTCCATAGCTCTACATCGTGTTGATGTTGTTTATAAATACCATAAATACCTTCTATAATAGTTTTGTATTCTTTATGTTGTTCGTATTGTTATTATTATTAGTAGTAGTCGTATTGTTGTTGTTGTTGTTGTTAGTATTGCTGTTAGTAGTGTGATTGTTTTTGTTGTAGCAGTAGTAGTAGTGTAGTATTTTTTTTTTTATAGTTTTCTATGGCAATAAAAGTTTATATTAAAAAATTGAAAGTGCACATTCAAGAAGTGCGTCAGGTCACCCACCAAATGTTTTACCCCTCTTCGATTTGAACGTTTCTTTACAAATAGACTGCGCGCTAAATAAAACAGCTTCTCTTGCCTTGCCCTTTCCTCAATAATTCTTATCCTTTGGGGTCACGTGCAGGGCCCATTGGAGGAGTGACACCACGATTTAGGGGCTCGCCCAGAGCTTCAGCCGATCCATGGAGCGGAGTGGAGAGGCCCCGCTACTACACCCCCAAAGCCCCCACCCACAGAGCAGAGCCCCCACCCAAAAGCCATCAATTAGAGACAGGAAGCCCCGCCCGCGCACGTGAGAGCACTGGACACGCAGCCAGCTGTTGGAGCTCTGCACAACTTCAGTGTGGAGTAGGAGCCTTCTTGTTTCTACAGCCACCGACTCAAGAATGCACTCATGCAGAAAGAGGGCTGCTGTTCGTGATGCAGCCCGTTTGTCCTCTGCAAAGTTGCATGAAAGAGTGGTTCTGTATAGGCAAATGTGACCTTATACACCTGGGCTGTTATGAATGCAGGGTATATGTTGAAAAATTAGAATTAGCTCCATGGAGAGACTGAGATATTCTTTGGTCCCTTGTGCCAGATCTGGGCAAAACTGCCACCTGCGCTCTCCCAGACTCTATCCAGAAGTAAAGCATATTATAACCAATATTTAATTTAAAAAAAATTATTTGCTCATTTAAAGATTAAATGCCATGATAATGTATTCATTCATTAATTCATTTTCAACCCATTTTGATAAGATAATTAAGGTTAAAACAAAACATTAGCTGCAGATGCTAAATATGAGCCCTAAACGATCTTTCCACAAACACAAATAAATCACTGCATATCCTGGCTCCATATTTACCTCCACTTCTTTTGTCTAAATAGTTGTGTTTACAAAATCAAATCCATGTTCTGTTACATCACAACATATAAAGTAGTCTTCAAATGAAATAGCAGATATTTTCCGCCAAAAAAAAAAAAGAAAAAAAAAGTGACTGTGAAAACACAATATGCTGACATCCAAATGTGGACCATGGAGAAGATAAATGCCCACCACAGCCCACCCCTGCATTAGACTGGACAGCTCCCCAGAAAAATGGCAACGTATAATGCAGTTTGCACATACAGTAGATTTGAGTGGGTGTGTGTGTACGACAATCCACATGTGTAGAAGTGGTGACAATAACAATTAAAGCCGCAAGCGGCGCCAAACGGCCCTTGCCGCATCGCACAACCACTGACGCACCGTTATCATACAGCCCTGACGAGAGAAATACTGTGTATCGTAAACATTGCAATGCATTTGATTAGTGAGTGTGTATTTCCATTGAATAACATATATAATAACTAAAATGTACCATCCTGTAAAGCCGTTTTCGAGAAGTAAGAAGATGCTATACTTAAGCATTGGTTAATTCCTATTTCGGGTCCACGCCCATCGGTCCGGGATCGTATTGCAAGCATGTCAGTGCACGTCATTTTGGACATTTTTGAGCCAGGACCCGCCCCCACTGGTTGAGACGATGTGCAGCTAACTTTTGATGCTACATGTGTTTAGACGATGTGGAGCGATTTCAAACGACTGAGATGCTGTTAAAACAATGTGTGTGAATTCAAGTTTTGTTCTAAATTGTGGACTTCCCGTTTGTCAGGGGGCAAGGTCATGATACAATTTTTATCCTGTATTGAGATGACAAATATTGTACACATATTTACTTTATCTACTTATTATTCTGCCCTATATGTATAGTATATAACTCCAAACTATATATACAAAGTTTGGAGACACCTTATGAAAATTGTAGATTCACACTGAAGGCCTCAAAACGATGAATTAGCTCATGTGGAATTATGCACATACAAAAAAAAGTGTGAAACAACTGAAAATATGTCTTATATTCCCGGTTCTTCAAAGTAGCACCTTTTGCTCTGATTACTGCTTTGCACACGCTTGGCATTCTCTTGATGAGTTTCAAGACTGTTGGCTCCTTCGCCTTCACTCTGTGGTCCAGCTCACCCCAAAACCATCTGGATCGGGTTCAGGTCCGGTGACTGTGGAGGCCAGGTCACCCATCACTCTCCTTCTCGGTCAAATAGCCCTTACACAGCCTGGGTGTGTGTGTCTACATATATATATATATATATATATATATATATACACTATTTGACAGTAGTGCCCGTGGTGATCGGTGCACTCGGGGCAGTGACCACGAAGCTAGAAGAGTGGTTACAGCGGATCCCCGGAACAACCTCGGACATCTCGGTCCAGAAATGTGCAGTGCTAAGAAAAGCAAAGATACTGCGCAGAACCCTCAAGCTCCCAGGCCTCTGGTAGAGGACCCGAGCTTAGAGAGGGATAACCGCCCGTGGAGGGCCAAAGGTGAGTGGACAATTTTTATTTTAACATATTTTTGTGTGCTCCCTGTGTGCTCTTACTCCTGTATGTGTGCTGCAACATTAACATTTCCCCACTGTGGGACAAATAAAGGATCTCTTATCTTATCTTGTAGCTCTAGGACAAACTATATGCCAAATCGGCCAAATCTAATTGGCGGCACAGTTGCGTCTTTTTTTAGTTTCAGGAAAAAAACTCTCCAAAACCATAAATGTTTTGCCGGAACTGATCTGCAATAAAATGTCATGCACATTCAAGGTCAAAATGAAGTTCAAAGAACAGAAGAAAAAAAGAAACATCCGTCCTCAAGCAAAAACAATATAAGAATATTTTGACCATCGTGAAAGCACTAGGCCCGTACGTTTGTTCGGCCTAATTATCTAGCTTTAGCATAATAAAGAAGCAAGAAGTGTAAAATCTCAGTGGTCACTGTAGAAACACACAGCATTGAGAACAATCCTTAAATTGAATCATTACAATTTTTTTTTAGTTTGACTGTAACCAAGGGACTTCTCTGGATCAAAAACTCCCTTCTGTTGGATTTACCTGTTGGACAAATGAGGATTAGATAGCTATATGACCTACTGTACCAGGTGGACAACTGCAAGACTCTACAAGGACTCTGATTGTGTATCCATATTATAGTCAAATAACAGTAATGTACTTTTTATTCGTGTCTGTCAAATGTGTGTCTGTTGAGTGCATTGTGTTGTTACATTAGGAACAAGTTAACCCCATGTCTCTGCTGCAAACAGTGTAAAATGCATTTTACTAGGAGTGACCCAGCATCAAGCTAGTACATGCTGTTTACCAAGATAATGTAACAGCTGTAAGCTAGTCTTAGCTGTCTGTGTTTTTATACAACATTATCAAACCCTAAAATGTATCTTATATTATTTTCACTCATTTTGCATCATGTTAAATGAAACATGACAATGGCTTGTTCTTATCAACAGTTTCATGACAACTCAACTCAAAAGCAAAGTATTACAAAATATAGCATGGGATTCATTTGAGTAATAATTAAAGGCGGGGTACCTTACTCAGCCAATCAGCCCTTTCCCAACAAGTCAAATAGCTACTTCTTAACAGGAAAGCTTTCAAGCGAACAACTTTTTAAGTTTAGCTTTGTTTCTTAGGCTATAAGAACATGTGTATTTTTATTAGATCAGAATGTATGTACTAATGTGTTTGTATGGATGTGTTTCTACTGCTGGACACCCAATTTCTCCTACAGTGGATCAACAAAGTATCTACAGTATCTATCCATCTAACTACCTACATATATCTATCTATCTATTTATTTACATAACTGTGCTGTGTGTTGTGTGGAGTTCCCTGAGCCCGAGGACCAGAATGAGGATTCCGAATCTGAGGCTGGTGTGGATCCGCGACCTCCTTCCCTCCTGTTCCACAACAGATGCCTGCGGCTGAACCACAGAGGAATGGCGCGCACACTCTGGGACGTCATTATCAACCTGGCCACCGTCAACATCACCATCATCATGCCCTACGAGGTCACCTTTATGAGAGCCAACCTGGCATACTAACCCACCCTGCTGGACATCATGTTCTTTATCCTGGGTGAGTGCCTTCATTGTGTTCATTTTGACCAAGGGGTTAGACCGGTTCCAGAAGGGGACCTTTCCTCAAGTCTGGACTCACCTGAGGAAATGGGTGGAGTCTGTTGTGCTCCTGCTTGGTTGGAATGAAATGCTGCAGCCACACCAGCCCTTTGAGGAATGGTTTTACATACCTGCTATTACTTAAGTTTGAGAATATTTACACCGCAGGAGATATAAATGTAAAAGCTGGAATCTTGAAAAGAAAAGAGAAAAATCCAAGGCACTCATATCCTCTAATGAACAGGGACTAGCCAGTGTGTTTTGGCCACATAGGGCCTTCTTCAGGGCATGCATAGATCTCAGGGTACCAGGTATGATAAGAAAAAAAGGATCTCAACCGGTCTGTCTTATGTTTTATGCAGCAGCCTGTGAGTCCAACGCGAATTTCTTGAATTGGAAAAGTCACAAACAACAAATTGCAAAAGACTGCAATTTCCCATCAACTTATATAATTTGAGTTACCATACTCGCTATCATATATTTGTCTAGTATAGGAGAAAGTACAGGGCATTTCTGCTCAGTCACAGGGATGAGCAAAATGTGACTACATTTTTCTGGCATCCCCAATTTAACGGTGAAAGCATTTTGTTTTCTCTCATTCTGCCTTCTTTAGCTTTGGTCCAGCTTTGGTTCAATCCAAGAAAAAAATCTATTCTAAAGACAATAATAACAACAATAACACGTTGAAGATTGTCGCTCGAGATATACACGTTTTTTTGACAAATTGTGTTTGGTCGTGTGTCGCTGCCAGATTGACACAGTGCACCTGATGAAGACTGTGAGGCTGATCAAGAAGCTCGAGAAGTAATCGCTCAACACCACCTTGGTCCTAGCCTGGCCATAGCCATCCGTACACTCCGCTCAATCATCATTTAATGTAATTTGTACTAAGGTGTGGTACAACCAGGCTACCTTGGTCCTGTCCATCCTTATGTTTAACCTTGCCTGCAAGCTGAATTCTCGCGGTATTTGTGAGTTCACAAACACTCGAACGCGTTAGAGTTCTACACAATCATCAATCTGGCTCTTGCCAGGTTACCTTATGTTCTCCTTCACACTGATCGCCCACTGGGCCGCCTGTCGTACAAGATCAGCCTGTTTGACCTCAGGATGCCGCACTGGCACGTGAGTGAGTGACCGCTCACTTGATCAACATTTATGGACTTTCCTACCCTGGTCTTACCATATCATTGTACTAATTTCATTTTCTACAAAATCAGTTTTAGGTCATAATTTGCTCCATTGAGCTCCATTAACAGGTGGGAGGGGTTAACTCGATAGAAACAATTGGATCTGAGTTTACCGTGACGTATATAATGCGCCTGAGTGAGTGAGGCATTTAGCATTTAGCTTAGCTTTAGCATTTAGCCATCTCCTTTGCCACTACCGGAGCTTGTAGGAAGTAGAGCCACAAAGGATTACTACTACATTCGCCACCATTGACAAACTACAACCGGAAAATTCAGCACACCTACCTACAACACCCACCTCTCTCGCTCGCTGAATGGTCGGAGAGGCTTCAACCGAGGAAAGCCACTAGGACGCAGACGTACATGTAGGGAAATGATCATGGAGTTTACAGATGAATAAGGCCAGGGTAGGACTTTATCAACATTAACTGTATTTATTTATTTATTTGTTTGGAGGATAAGCCCCTAGAGATGAAACATCTCTTTTTCGAGGGGGTCCTCAAAATCGCTCAAAATGACAGATTCAGTACAGACAGTAGAGCAAACAATAATGCAGAATTCATAGAAACTAATACAAACACAGAAGACAAAGGACACACATGCACACACCCACTCACACACATCACACACTGATTGTTGTTCATATATTGTCTGTTATAAATTAACAAAGATTACAGTTAGTATTTATAGTAGTGCATATCATTGAATATAATTTAGATTCATAATTTGTGCTCAATAACAGTCGCATGGGTTCTGGAGGTGTTGAACCCATGCCTTGGAACTTCACCTTTGCCTTAGATCTTCACCTTTGCCTTAGAGGCTCCTGCATCTCTATACTGACATCTCCAAAATTGCAGCTACTCCAGGATTTCCCGAAGGACATCTATGTTAAGCCGTGTTCAGACCACGCATGATCTATGCGTTGCGTCGGCTTTCAATGCAAAGTCAATGATGACGGCCGTTCGAGCGTCAAAACGCATGCACCTCTTGGCACGCACGGGCCGCGCAGTAGAGACGCACGGACTGCGATGGAAAGTCGAAGGGGAGGAGCAGGAGAGGAACATTGACGCCCACAGGAGATAAACTTTGCTCAACCTCTCCTCGGGACGTTCGTGCAGCGACCAATCAGAGAGCCGCAAAGTGGTCACGGGGACATTGGTGGTCTGAGCGAGCAGACTGAACATACTGTAAACAGCCAAAACAGGAGCTACACCATGACTAAACCAGGACTAAACCAGGGTTGACAATGGGGGACTGTGTGCTTGTGAATACATGCGTTGTCATGCTCCCGTGACTTTATGAAACTGCTTCGAGCGTGTTCGCCAATGCGGAATTACCGTTTTAATAACACCTAATCAATGTAGTTAATGTGCGGATACCAGCCCCAAACCTCCTGATTATCCATATTTTGTGCTGTTATTACCCCTGAGCAATATGAAGTTCACCTCAGTGCTATACCCATCCTTGGTTGCTAAACATAGCATACCCTGTGGCGCCCCGTGGGCCTCAATCTTATATTTGTGAGTATATTTGACACATTACTGTTACTCACTTGTTCAGTAATGTTAGTTAGTCTGTTGTTAAAGGCGCTATACCCGTTTCTGCAATGTTTGAATGTTTAGCACCGCCCCCCAACTCGCTCACAGGCTTCTCATTTCCCCTACGCTCTCATCCCACGGAGCCATCTAATTTTATGTGCGATCTGATACATATGCTAACATTAGCATTAGCGCAACTTCTTGTAAGCTGTACAACAATCACTGATGAAATGGTACAAAAGCAATGCACTGCTAACACAATATATAGGTAAAAGAATACCGCTAGTTTCGCGTCCGAATGTATTAATTTAAACATTAGAATATATTCTAATATTTAATTATAATTTATTATACAGCTCCTCACAGCAGCAGCACTCCATTGACTTGAATACAATTCTTCCGATATTTTTTTCTTGATAACAGAACTCTCAAATCAATAATGACCGCAGCCCCAATGCAATCTCTGTTTGTAATTCAGGTGTGTAAAATACTGCCATTACTCTGCAAGTACAACAAACTATCAGCGCCTGTCACTACACTGTGCAGTTTTCTGCACACTTGTCTGTGTAGAGAAGCCAACGGAGCTAGCCACGCTCACTACATATCTATCAATCAACACCATTAAACGTTAATCGGACAATACAGTATACATATACATCCTTAACACACATGCACGGACGATTTCAGAAATTTCTGTTTACGTTTTCATGACAAAAATACTGTTTTAAAGTGACAAAAAGCAGTCGCGAAAAACCCGGAAGTTACCATGAAACAGCTAGCTAGCTTAGCTGTTACCGGTCCCGGTGAAACCTTTGGGAGCAAACTATTTTATTTGCAGTCATTATATACATTTCGAATTATAAGGGCTGTCTAATATTTGTTTGAATATATATATATTTTTATTTTAGAATTATATTCTAGCTGGTGCTATGAGACTTGGGTGGCATCTCTGACTGCCACCCCCCTGACCCAGAAATGGATTAAAGGGAAGAAAATGGATGGATGGATGGATGAATTATATTCGAATTTTGAAGTAGAAGCCCTGATGTTTAGCAGCGCTGTAGGGGCTAGAGGACGCAGGCTGTTCGCTTCTTGTTTTGCGAGTGGAGGAGAACAAGCGTCCCGCTAAGACTCTACTCAGCACATTTCACGGCATAAATTTCATACACAGCTGAATCAATTACCTCAAGTTTTCAATTAAATTATGTATTATGATACAAATTGTATGTAGTAAAAAGAATTTTTATGAACTACTTCATAAAAAAATCAGGTATAAATTCTTTAAGCATGCTAGCCAGGTTCGGCTAGTGGGACCTAGCACACAGAAAATCCAATAAGCTAGGCCTAATTAAATGGTTTATCAGATCAATACAAATAAAGCAGATGAAACATGTAATAAAATAACGAAGTAAAATGCATTATTTTCTGTAGAATGAAACAAAACCAAAATAAAACCGGCATTAGAGCTAACAACACTGCCAAAAAAACGTTTCTAGAGAGAGACAAGAAACATCTTCTTTTGAACACATTTTATGGAATTAATATTTCTTACACATTTATTGACGACCAAAATGATATAGTTATATACCGGATTTTGAGCCATGTTGGTAATGTTGTTGCCCTCTGCCATGTTTAGTTTTGTGGCAATGAAGTTGATCAACTATGTGCAGGCTCGATTGTTAATGTCTGTGAGCAGTGACGTAATATTGACAGTTTGCTGACTGCTGAAATTCGTATTCTCAAAGAAAAAAATGCATGCACATAAAAAAAAAATCATATTCACAAGAACAAAATCACACATAGTTTTATAGTTTTTTATTCTTAATTACAAAATTCCATGTCTTTTGAGTTTGTATTATCTTAATCATGAATTAATTTTAAAAAATTATGCACAAATACTGAAAAATATTTATTGACAGTAACCTTACCCCATAGAATCCACCTGCACCTGTTTCGCCAGATCCGCCCCCATTCGAGAGTGGCAGCCCCTGAGTGAGGAAAGAGCTGGCCCTTCACCTGAGCATCTCCACCCATCGCCACGGAGACGTCTTCATCTACAAGGACGAAGGTGCAGGCTCTGTACAAGGTCAGCTGCGGAGCGCTGCAAACTCCGACCGGACCAAAACTAGGTTTGTGGGATCCATTCAATTCAATGTATTCTTGTATTACCCTGAATCACAACAGTAGTCACAAAGGA